TTTTAGCTAAAAAATTTGCAGATTTGGAGAAATATTGATAGATTCTCATAGGTTTACATCAGAGTTCTATAGACAGGAATAATATTTATTGAATTTATACCCCAATGTGTCGATGTAATAATTATGAGCACTGGATACTCTGATGTACTGTGTTTTCAATCCATAAGAGCAGCCTGAGGGCGCCCTATTCACATGTAGTCCATATATGTTACACACGAAGAAGTCATAATCATGTGACATTCCAGGACGTCCCTGACATAAACAAAGCTAACAGAGATCGCTGTAACATGCATATAAAGACGTTGTGAAGACAATAAACATGATTGCAATGATATTTGATTGACCTGTGTTCTTCGAGCCATGCCAGGTATTTTCATAATAATAGATTATATTTATAATGTAATGCTAATGGATATAGACTTTATCATCGTGCAGAATACTATAAAATAATATATTGTTTGTCTGATTTTTTTATCTGAAGCCAAATCAGATCACAGAAGGTTATTTAAAAGAGCCAGTCGTTAGTAATTATAATGCAGACCAAAGAAAAGCATTTTTAGTACAAAAGGTTCATGAACTGTATCTGTTTCAGTTTGGGTATGTCATTTCTGGGGATTTTTCAAAAGTGGGGTTACAGCCTAACAGATTAAAGAAGCGGGTCAAGTCTTCGAATTGTTGCTAACCTCTATATTACTATGTTTTCTCCAGGTCATTTTAAATGGACAGCTTTGTCGCTGATATGCTAACTGAGTGGCGGCTGTCTGAGCTGATAGAGAATTTTAGAGGTGAGCATTTTACTTTTAGTCACAACTTCTTTGACAGTGGAGTATGCATATCTATATAACCCTTATAGTTAAAAAAATACTTGTGCCTTGTCTTTAAGCTGTTATGCATAAGAATAGGCCAGATATTCACCATTAATGTCATTACACTTGTTAATGAAAGAAAAGATGGACAGTAGTATAGACTGTCATTCACACTAAATGGGTAATGCTGCAAAATAACCACATTAGTTAACTAGGAAATTGGGCCACGTTAAAAAACAACAAAACATTCCCTTAAAAGTGATTATTTTTTAGCTTTATAAACAAAGAGTGTCTGGTGAGTGGTTCACAATTGTCTCGACTTATTAATAATACTCATGTTGTCTTGTTTTCTGTCTTTCAGATGAAGACATCTCCATAGATGAGGAGGCATTTCTTCTCTTAGATGAGGACACTATCAAAAATCTTCCTGAAGCTCTCCAGAGACACAACCAATGTTTGAAGACTTTAAAGGAGAATTACGGCGAAAAATGAACCTAGAGATAATTAACACATGGTTACCGAGTCGACCGTTCTTTGGGATTTGTTTTCATGATAATCGAATGTAAAGAGTTTTATCTCTAAAAACTGATTAGCTTATAACGCTAGTATATGGGGCATCGAATACAAGTAAAAAGAAATCGTTAGTTATACCACTAACAAGGCTCAAAATAGCCTCACACTAACATGGTAGCATAATGAGGGTCCCTACATGCAAACCGAAGCATTGAGAACAGTTTAAAAAGAAGATACTTTATAAAGACAGTACATTTCGCGTATACAGGCAGGAGCCATCTTTGGAAAACAGTCTTGACCAGTCGAGCCACGAACGAAGAATGAGCCGCGCCAGAATCAACAATCTCTGAAAGCTTCATTCAAACAAAGAATAGTTTTCAAAAGACAGCCAACGAGCGATAAATATAACCGATAACATGTATTGAGTTTATTGTTCTGGATGACCAGCCGCGGTCAAAACTGAAATGCCGTTTATTTAACAAAATTGTTTATGGACTTTAAATTATAAAGAGATTATTTTCTTATATTATTCATATATCCTTTTTTAGATTCCTAGATGTATTTGTTGCACTTTTTTTATGCAGTTATATTGTAAAACTAAAATACCTTTTTCAGTTTACAGTAACGTTATTAGATGTGTGGTTGCATTTTAAGTTCTTTTTCACTTAAGAAAGATAAATAATATATTGCTGTGAAATGTATGTCAGATAATAAAAATACTCACTGTATGTAGGCCTATTTGTTCATGTTTAACTAAGGGATGAGTCTGAAACACGCCTTAAAATAATTCTATAAATTCATACAGTGCTAGTAGGGCTGTGCGATATGACGATATATATCGGATGGACGATATAAAAAGCCTATCGTTTCATATTATGCCATATCGTTTATATCGTGGTGTCGCAAAAAAACATTGTTTACGGCAAAAATTTGGATGACTGCAATCTTTCACGCCACCATGGGGATGCAGGCAGAAACGTGAATAACAGCATGAATGAAGGGGTGACAGAACCGGGTGTTTCCGAGCAGGAGAAGAACCAGCCAGAACAAACCGAGGAGCTCGTTCCTAAACGAGGGGCTAGATGGTTTGGTTAACTTTCTATTTGTTGTATTGACCATTTTAGGGTGGTTTGGATAAATAAACGCCAGTCTCAAATAGAGGCCTGGTCTGTTTTTTAGTTTCGGTTTGTATTTAATCTTCTAAAACCCGTCAGATCGTCTGTTTAAACCAGTTCTGTGGTGCAGATTGCGCGCATCTGGGCGGAGTTGTTAGCGCAAGCAGAGTTAGCGGAGGCCGGAGAGAGAATGAGATCGTTTTACAGGGTATAGCCTTCATTCTTTCTTGTTGATGTGTTTCGGGCAACAAGTTCATAGGCTCGATGGATATTACCAGTAATGTATTGTTCAGCCCATGGCTGTCACATCGTTTTTTTTCTTGTTTTTTTTCTGCCAATAATCTAAAAGCTATGGTTATATTAAATGTACAATTATCGTTATGTATATACTGACTTCACCCTGTGCTGCAACATACATTTAGTTGTACATTCATTTACAGAAATCAGCTGGTTGAATTCAAATTGATGCTGTTATCGGATTTTCAGGTGATATTCCCAATTCATTCAGTTAACGGACGCTCTGAGGTAAAGTGTTCAGACTGCAGACTAAGCAACGATTGTATTTAATTGTACAGTACTATCATAACATAGTACAGACATGATCTTAATTCCATAATGTCCTTAAACATAACAATTTGCTGGCCATAAACTGACAGCGCGCGTCCGGTGTGCGATACCTCGAGTTGCTATAGACACGGCGCGCGCGCTTCTCGTCCGGTGAGCGACCCCCTTTAGACATAATAAAGTAGCCTAGGCTAATTCTTAGATTAACGGATTTGTTAAACACATTTATAAATAAAACGTAATCTTCGTTATCTCTAGGCCTACACTAAATGAAAGGCCTGTCTCATAGACGCCTGCCTCAAATACAAGCCGGTGCAGTTCGGCGATTTGGGAAAATAAAAGCCCGGGCTATTATTTGAAGTTTTACAGTATATCGTGATATATATCGTTATCGGGATATGAGATGACTTCTATCGTGATATGAGATTTTGGTCATATCGCCCAGCCCTAAGTGCTAGTATGAATTGCAGCTGTATAGATACTGTACAGACCCAGGTATCGGATCAGTACTCGGTATCGGCCGATACCCTGAGTCCAGGTATCGGAATCGGTATCGGGAAGGGAAAAAGGGTATCGGAACATCTCTAGTACTAACGCTGTAGAACCACCAGCACTGGGAGAGTCTTCCAGAAGAACACAGACACACTCGCTTGTTGTAAACAACAGCACTCTTCAGAGACATCGACAACTGGTGCGTGCATCCGCTTCCGTGTTTATACCCGCGCTGCAGGGTGATGCAAATCTCACACGCCAATATGCATTGGCTCGTTTTTTCAATACTTGAAGATGACAGGCTCCCTAAGCGTGATCCTAATCAATCATAACGTACGACTACGACTATTTATTTGAACCTGAATACACGGACACACCAGACACACGTCAGCAGCGTCTTACGTCAGCAGCGTAACGTGAACGCGGATTGACAACAGAACCCGGAAGACAATACAATGCTGAATAAAGTCCTAGTTTTTGTTATTTTTGGCTCAAAATGTATTTTCGCTGCTTCAACACATTCTAACTAACCCACTGATGTCACATGGACTACTTTGATGATGTCTTTATTTCCTTTCTGGACAAGGACAGTATACCGTACATACATTTACAATGGAGGGACAGAAAGCTCTCGGACTAAATCTAAAATATCTTAAACTGTGTCCCGAAGATGAACGGAGGTCTTACGGGCTTGGAATGACATGAGGGCGAGTCATTAATGACATAATTTTCATTTTTGGGTGAACTAACCCTTTAATAAATGATTAAGTTAATTGTTCAGCTAGTTTATTTGTATTTTTTTATCTTATCATTAACTAAAATCTATGTAAAGTACAAGTTCATCACTTTATAATTGAGCCCCTAAAGGGACATGGAGTGAAAAAAATATGACGGGAGGAAAAATAATGAATAAATAAACAAACTAAAGTGAATAAACTAAAGTAATAAACTAAAAATTTTACATTTAAGAGAAGATTAAATGAAGTGCACAATATGGTCAGTGTCTGTGACAATACAATACCTGTTTTACAACAGCTGGTTGTAAATGGTAAAGTACAGAGCCCCCACGGGACATGGTGGTGGGAAAAAATCAGATGGGAGGGAAAATAGTAAGTAAATTCATTTGCGTTCACTCGCAAATATTTTGTGTTCCCCCCGAGAAACTTGAATGCAAAGTTTCCCTGTTGCATTACCACATACACGGACCATATGCACTTAATTTCATCTTCTCTTCCATTTTCAAGTTTTATTTAAACAAATATATACACACTTGATCAATGTTATAATGTTTAACCCCTTGATTTCAGGTAAATTAGTCACATAAGTTTTTATTTTTTATTTCTCATAGTCTCAAAATGTACAGTTTCTGAGTGAATTCATTATTCAAATTATTGAATATCAAATTATTTACTTGAAACAGTGCTTTTTCTTACTCCATAGACTAGATAATTGGGTGAAACTTTTCCCACATGAAGAGCACTGATGCGGCTTCTCTCACTGATGTGTGAACTCTCTCATGATCTTTCAAGAATGATGAATGAGAGAAACTCTGTCCACAGAGTGAACACTTGTACGGTTACTCTCCAGTATGAACTCTCCCATGAGCTTTCAAGGATTTTAAACAAGAGAAACACTTTCCACAGTGTGAGCACTTGTACGGTTTCTCTCCAGTATGAACTCTCTGGTGTGATTTTAAGATGCTGGATCTAGTGAAGGTCTTCCCACAGTCAAAGCACATATATGGTTTCACACCAGTATGAATACGTTCATGCTCTTTTAAAGTCTTCAGTTTTGAAAAACTCTTTCCACAAAAAGAACAAAAGTGAGATTTCACACCAGCATGAACATTAAGGTGTTCTCTTAAGCTAGACGAAAACACAAATGTTTTATCACACTGATCACAGCTGAACGACTTCACTCCAGTGTGAGAGAGCAGATGCTCTTTAAGAAAGCTCTTGCGATTGAAACTCTTTCCACACTGAGAGCATGTGAACGGTTTTTCTCCAGTGTGAATTCTCATGTGCTCATTCAAGCTTCCTTTCTGAACGAAACTATTTCCACACTGAGTGCATGTGAAAGATCCTTTGACTTCAGTTTTTCCAGCTCGTTTTTGTCTGAAAGTCTTTTCAGTCCTTGAAACAACTTTATTTTCATTTATGAAATGAGGTTTGTCTTCTTTCACTTCCTTTGGGTCTAAAATCAACAAATGAAATCCCCACAATTAAATTAAAGAAAGACAAATGAGAACAAAAGAAATATACAGTAAGTGAGCCTTAATTTAGCTCAAATCTAGTTTACAATCGAGTCTACTAGTATCTAGCTTTAGATGTATTGTCATATGTCAGTTTTCATCTTAATGTTCCTCATCAGTCATTAAAGAGAATGAAGGAAAACACCAACCTATTTGTTCCTCTGTATCTTCATCTTTTATTCTGCAGGGTTCTTCCTTAATCTCCATCTCTACAATAGTACGTCCGTAGTTTCTCCTGTAATTCCTCCTGCTTGCTTCTTCTCCTGTGGGAAGATGGGAATATTCCCCAGCATTTAAACTCTCATGAACGGCTGTGGGAGCTTCACTGACTGAAGGAGTGAATTGTGGTCGTTTTTGCTCATTTAGCAGATGATCATCACACTTACAATCACTCGAGATTATTCAGGTGCAAATATTTCACTCAAATAGTAATTTAAAAACAATTGCATTATTTTAGTTGTTTTACTTTAACTTCTATCATCAAGCTGATTTTTGCTCTTTCATGAGATATGGTTTATCCTAAAGTGAGATTTTTTTGTGAGATTTCTTTTCAAACACTTTCTTGCAACAGAACATCATCCAGACTGTAGGCTATAATGACTAACATCAAAAGAGTATTGCGTTTGTCTACTGTAAATAATTCTAATTTCATTAAGTATTTTAGTAATTTATCTTCTCAAAAGTGATGTTATTATCAAAAATTAGCTCTATATTTCCAGCACTGTTAAACTATTAATTCTTCAATTCAGTTCAGAGAGAGAATATTGATAAGGGTTGATTGCTGTAATCAGACATCGATTAAACGTGTCTGAAATAAACTATTCTTCTGTTATTCATATTGTGTTACACCTTGTGTTTACCAGGTTCAATTATCCATGCTACACAAAATATTGCTAAACACAACTAACAATCTCAACATGTTGTCAGTAGTAACGAGCTTAAGTTTCAGTGTAATGTACAACATTGGTTAATTTTAGGGTTAAGTATTCTAGGGTTTAATAATGTCAGAGTTAGATTATTTAAATAACCGCTACGACTCGTTTATACGTGTTTTTGATTCACTTAAATTAACCGGCTCTTAAGAGTCATTCGCTCGGGAATCAGACACTAGTCGAGCTCAATGACATGTATATAAGTTGACAGATTTAGATTTAACTCAATAAATAATAAAATAAATGTACTCACAGTCCGCTAAACAGCAGATAAGAATCTCTTTCTCTTCATGAATGAACCAAGATGGACTGGACTCAACAACAAGATCACGTGATTGAAATAAAAACAAATGTCGCCATCTAGAGGAACATCTGTGGCGCTGCCAAACTATTGTCACTCACGCATTTTATTCTGAGGATCAAAACGACACACAGATACTTTCCAAATATGAATTCTATTTAAAAACGTTATTTTCATTTGACTTTTACCATATTGTTGATCAAATTTCATGTCTTTAAAAGCTTAATTTATTTTAGTGTTAGCTCATATTTTAACCACTAGATGGCAGCTGTAAAACAGGTATTTTATTCACTGCACTTCCACAGACACTGTTCAGTTTTCTGATCTCAGTGGTGTGGATAAGTCCAAAGCCTTTTTTTTACAACAAAGTAAATTGGAAAAATATCCAGTCAAAACATTTGTATTTTCAAATATTGATTTATCACTGCAGAGTTAAATAACAACCATGAATACAATGTTGAAACCCTTTGATTACATGTAAACAAAAATAAATGTATTAAGTCACTCAATAAGAACAAGGTTATAACATAAATTGTAAACAAGATGTAAGTTGCTGGCTATAGATATGATACGCTAAGCTGCAAGAAATCACACAATTTCATTTATCCCAATATCAGACTATTTTAAGTGATGGATCTAAATGTGAACTTTGCTCACTTAGATAACTTTGGACAATGCTTTTTCTCATGAGTCTGTAGACTAGATGATCGGGTGAAACTCAATCCACATAAAGAGCACTTGTACGGTTTCTCTCCGGTATGAACTCTCTGGTGTTGTTTTAAGTCACCGTATCTAGAGAAGATCTTCCCACAGTCAAAGCACATATAAGGTCTCACACCAGTATGAATAATCCCATGCTTTTTTAAATGTTCCAGCAGTGAAAAACTCTTTCCACAAACAGAACACACATGAGGCTTCACATCTGCATGGATTTTCATGTGTCTTTTCAGGTGCTCTGCCACAATAAATGTCTTGTCACACTGATCACAGCCGAATGATCTTTTTCCTGAGTGAAACAGCATGTGAGTTTTGAGACTAGTTTCCCATGTGAAGCTCTTTCCACACTGACGGCATGTGAAGGGTTTCTCTCCGGTGTGGATTCTCATGTGATTCTTCAAGCTTGATTTAACTGTGAAGCTATTTCCACACTGAGAGCAGGAGCAAGAACATTTCTCTCCTCTTCTTTGAGTGTTTTGTTGAGGTTTCTGAAACTGATGGAGTTTCTCCTCCACTTCACTTTGTTCCATCAGATCTAGAACAAACATGTTAAACTAGACAATTTTTAAGATTGAAATAAAAGTAATCCATAGTCTAAAAGCAGAAATATTTAATCAAAACTTAACTAAAAAAAGACTAATGGAATCCAAAGAAATATTGAGTACATACAACACTATGTACATTTTCAACCTTCATAATATATTTCCAAGACCCTTTTGATGGCACATCGACTTAGGTTGAATGACACGTCTGCCATAGCCTGACGGGGTCTGTATTGCTTTTACTGGCACTACGTAACTTCGGGGTTCGGGTAGTAACCCAAGCACGAAAAAAAGAGCTACAAAATTCGACTGCTTTACGGCATACCTCACTTCCCCCACCACCCCCCACTTTCTCAAATTCGGACGTGAGAGCCCAACCATCGTTTGTTTGCCAGATGTTGTTGTCATGATGCATCATCTTCATCATGGCTGAAGCAGCAACTAAACCAAAGAAGGCGAAGATTTTGTCGGAGGAGACTGGAGAGAGAGAAAAAGGGAGAGTGACAGAATCAAAGGCCGGACGAGGATCGATATTGGTCCAGTGTTCGCTGGCTGGCGTGAGCTAAAGGAGGCAGTAGCGCAGGAAGTGGGGTGCTGCGGGGGCTGCAGCCCCCCTCGTCATAGCCACAGCCCCCCTGGTGGGGGCTGTGAACTAACATAGTATTGTACTAAAAAACGTGAAAAATAAATAAATAAATAGACATGCTATGTTTGATAATGTAGTGAGTGTTCAATACGGAGAAAATGAAATAAAGTTTGAATTTGTCATGCTTAGTTTTTTCCGATCAGAGCTTGAGCGGAGAGCGCATCTGAATATTACGCTCCGCTCGCTCATTCCGCTCAGGGTCGCGCGCTCAACCCAGAATGGCCTGCTGCTGGTCCGAAAATATGTGGAATAAGGGCTGCCTCCGACTAAAGTTTTTTTCTAGTCGACTAGTAGTTGTTCATTTTAGCCACTGTGGACATATGTGCAGAAATGCACATTTGATTAGGCCTACATAATCAGAGAGTAGCCTATTTCTTTTCGTTTTGAATAGTTTCGTTTAAAAGTAGACATTTCAAGCTAATAGATACCCTATATTTCTCAAATCTGTGAGGCACAAGCTGAGTTTCGGCGCTCTCCAGTTCACGTGCAATGCAAGTGATTCGCCGGCGCCTTACATTGTCTGCTATATATTTGCTTCTTATTTATTAAATACAGGCAATTGGTTGATAAAACATTGATCAAAATTAAGATACAATTTATACTAAACGAAAATCTTTTAAAAAGAGTCTTTCTACAAAAAAAAAACAACCTTAAGGTAAAAATCATGTATTACCCACTCCATGTGACATGTCTCCAGACATTTTGGGTATCTCATGATCTCATGTATCATATCTTTCTCACACTGCATGCTCACTTTCATAATCAAAATTGATTAAATAAAAAAATAACATTAGCCTATAATATTTAAACATACATATGAAACTAAATGTTTTCTTTAATGGCTACAACACATATACAGTACAGAGAAATGTCATGTCTTGTCGTCAGCCATAACATAATGACGTCGCATATTTTCCAACCCTCAGCCCCTCTCGCATGAAACAGCTTCCAGCGTGCCTGAAAGGAGGAGGAGGGGTGCCCGACCGATGCTGACTTGGCCGTCATGCTTTTGGACTAGTAAGTATATTGCTGCATACTATCTCTAGTTTTTCGAATTTGTTGTCTGCCTGGCTATTAGGGCTGTCAACGAATATTCTAAATTCGAATATATATTCGAATAGTTTTAAAAAACAGAAATTCGAAGGTGAAAATTAATATTCGAATCATGAGGAAAAACACGCCCGCGGTAGCAGAGGCGCGGCTGTCTGCTTTGCGAGTGGCAAAATTCTGAAGCTTAAAATGTAAAACGCATTTTCCAGCTGCACAGACACAGTGAGTGTCTGGCTCACTCATTGGCTGTGCTGCGTCAACTGCACATCCAATGGCACGGGCGCCTCCAACGTGTGCGCCAATGAGCTAGCATTACATCAGACACGTCAGAGCCCGCCAATGGGGGCGTGGCCAGACGCCCTCGAAATAGCCATAGTAGTAGGCTAGCAGCAGTTTACCACAGCACAGCTCGCTCGGAGCGTTCAATGTCGGTTCTATATACTGTAAAACTTCAATTAATGTTAATAATATTTGTTTCAATCACCGAATGAAGCCTGCTATATTTAGGACAAGAGTCGCGACCTTAAATTGCTTGCACAAAACTCTTGATCAGCACTCAACATTTGTTTATTGTTGTTCATTTAAACCGTTATGCGCAGAGAGTGTGAGGGCGAGAGAGAGAGAGAGAGAGAGCCTGCGAGTGCGAGCGAGAGTAAGGTCTGCGGTCTTGGCCATTAGTTGATTTACTTGATTTTGTGTAAGTTAATACGTTGTCAAATATGTTTAAACTTAAATAAACTACCTATACAAGTAGTTGTGTCTCTTTGTATTAATTTGTCCTGTTATTAACGTAATGCGCGTCATTGACAATATGCGCAACCAGATATTCGAATAGTTCGAATATATGTGTTTTTTATAGAGGGAATATTCGAACGTCATTTTTGAGCAATTTTGACAGCCCTACTGGCTATGTTACGGAAGCTGTCTGGTCCTCCATTTATCCTCATGAATCAATGCTAGTAGAATAGCGAATTATCAATCTGGTAGCTAGTGAACGCTAACATAGCCTCAGGCTATATAATGCAAATCGATTTTTCAAATTTGCAGATTCATCTATGGTAGCTTGATATTATAATATTGACGATATATGGCTATTACCCACCACACAAACATTGAATTGAATTATATCGATTCTGTAAAACATTCGCCAATAGGCTACTATAATGACGCTGGTTTGTAAACGTGAGCTACGCGATCTTTTGGTGTTTGAAAAAAATAAAACCCATTCAATTATATTCATATATGACATGCGGAAATATATGCCACTGTACCTGGGATGAAGACATTTCACACGCAACGCAGGCAGTCTGCCCAAGACGCGACAACTCCTTCTGCAGAGTTCGGGGGTATCGGCTTGTAAACAAATGTAACCGTGACAGATTTTAAGACAGTAGTAGAAGACAATACTGTTTCCCAACTGTAGGGGGACCCCGAGAGGAAAAGTTACATGCGTTACTTTAATATTGACTCTACTAATATCTAGTTTTAGATGTATTGTTATATGTCAGTTTTCATCGTAATGTAGAGACTTTAAGGATGAACCAAACACAAATTAATCTTTCCAATCTCTCATGGGATTCATTCAAATGGGATTCAGCATTTCGGATCTGAATACCACATTCCAAAGTCACAAGACTGGCTCCAAATTGTCTAGAAAACCCCCCAGAGAAGACTTTTATGGCCCCAGAGATAAGCCTAAACAGGAAGAACGTGTCACTGTTTTCATCCTTAAGCCAGACAAAGCTGCTCAAAAATGGTGAAACGAGGCCTGACCACCAAGGGGCCTGACCACCTTTGACCTCCCTCAGCATCACCACTGCTGAGCAGGACAGCGATGTAAAACAGACCACGCTTTCATGGAACGTGAGAGACTTACACAGACTTTACATATCAAATACATATTACATATCACATATCATTAAAACTCACGCAGAACAATGCTCAGTGGACTTATAATCAAACATCATAATTCTTGTTGTTCCTACAATTCATGTTTGTATTATGCTTAGATCACATATAAATCATGTAATTGTGATATAACTGTGTGTATGGATGAAAGAGTATCGTGCTTCCAATCAAAAGAATTGTATGCCCTTAATTCAAAAGGTGGCTTGTTTGAAATCTGTGTAAAATGTTTTGTATGATTATAATAATCTATAATGTTTAAACTGGGGTCTCTTGTTCTCTGCTAAGTGCTGGAACCCAAGCAGATCCCAGATAACGATAAATAGGAACTAGCTCCACCTCCTAAAATGATGCCATTGTCTCATTGGTCAGAATTCTCCAAAAGAGGTTGGACTAACTTTTAAGTTAAAGACCCCGACAAAGGAGTTAGAGAGAAAAAGAAATTCGGTTCAGAGAGCAGTTCGGGGTTGCCGTTCGGTTTTGAGTTCGGTTCGGTGTTGAATTAAGTTTTGCGCCTCTCTCTAGCAACAGCAAGAGAGTGTTCCTGTTCGTGCTTCTCTCTGAAAACAACAAAGAGCGTGTTCGCACGCTTCTACATCGACCAGACCAAATTAGACCAGCAGACAAATAACCCATCAAGATCGGGGTTGAAACAGCTCATTCAAGCCATCTAACTCGTCTTACTTTCATTTCTTCCTTTATTTTTTTTTTTCATAAAAGTCTCGGTTCAACGTTAAGTTGCTGCGAAGTTCGTTTAAACGTCTCTCCTGCAACGCGCTTCGAACTGTAAAGACTCTTATTCACCTGCCAATTACACGTGACCGGCTGTTCAGAAACTTCCATCCAGGCACTTCAAAGACAACCAGCCACACGGACCCGGCCGGGAAACCCCTTGGACGAAGCACCGCAAAAAGGGAACTCCCTAAGCAACGCAAAGACAAGCAAGTAGCAGCTACTCCAGACTCTAACTGAACTGGTGCTTTAAATGTAAATTGAATAACCTGTCTAAGAAACGAAGGTTTAAATTAATGCTTGGTGGTTCGTTCAGGTCATGTCTTACAAAGTGCATCTCACTCTGAAAACTCACTCTCTCTCTCTCTCTTCCTGTGCGCCTTGTATGAATGCGTGTGTGTGATTGTGTTTAGACCTTAGTTTTATGTGTTTAGAATAGTTAATAAAGTCGTCAATATATTTGAAAAGATATTTGCCTTGTGTTGTGCTTGCACATTTAATGTCTTGTACTGTCGATCTAAAGTTACCTTGCTAATACATAGTGTTTCACTATAGATTGGATATTTATATCTGTTGCCAAGGTTATAATTACGGCCCGTTCAAATGAACTCTAAACGAGTCATTTGCTCGGTTCCATAGTGATTCGGTCAAGATTCATTGCAAATCGATGAATCATTCCTTTTGAGCTAAATTGGCCTTCCGGCCCCCCTTAAATACATTTTATGTATATTATTATTGTGTGATTCGTTACAGTAATGTTCCTCATCAGTCATTAAAGAGAATGAAGGAAAACACCAACCTATTTGTTCCTCTGTATCTTCATCTCTCGTTCTGCAGGGTTCTTCCTCAATCTCCATCTCTATAGTTTCTCCTGGAGTAATTCCTCCTGCTTGTTAGGAAAAGTTTCTTCACCTGTGGGAAGAGTCAGACATGAATATTCAACAGTATAGAAAGATAAATCTTATTAGCCTGACTTTTCTGTCTCTGTCTCCCTGTTTTCTTCTTTCTTGTCTGTAAGGCTGCAGGTGTTAGATGTATATTTATCTGTTTTAATGTACACTCTATGTGTGTGTGTTTCTTGGAAAGCAGTCTGGAAAGGATCCCTTTTCTTTGTCTAGAAGAAAGTGCCCGAAAGGCTGTTCTGGGATGTGCGGTGCCTTCAGCCGGAGAGTGGCCATAAATTAACTTATTTTTATGTAGCTATTGTATATTCTCATTGACTGGCAGCTACACTCCCCGTCCCCTGAACCAAGAATAAAAGCTATTGTACGCAAGTAAAGTTTGGGAGGTTTTGTGAACGGATTGGCTTCATGTTCTCTTTCCATGAGCTCATGTCATTACACAATGAAAAACGAAAATTCTTAGAATGAGGCACAGGAAAAAATAAATAGAGATGAAATAATCTAACAGGTATTATAGAAGATGTGAGAATGTGGTCATTGAAGTTTATTGAAGTTATAACTTGTCATTTAACAGAATCTTAACCTTAGCATACTAGCCGTAAGCCTTGTTTACACTTTCGCCGGATACAGCACCGTTTAAACTCTAGTGACTCTCCACTCTCTAGTGATGGGAACACACATCCTAGCTACATACAAAACATTTGCAATTGGTTTGTAAACGGTATTATTATTACACATGTTCGGGATGTTCTCGCTGCATTTACACCGTTCTGACCAGCAGGTGTCGCCAGCGTGCGGCGCTTCGAGCGCTTAAAACGAGTTTATTCGGAGTACAAAAAGCTCCGTTTCTCCTATCATCACCACTACTTTTCTCCAGATTACTGCACACAATAGTTATAAATAAGTATGAATTGTATCAACGTAAAAACTAACTCACTATAGACGCCAGCTGAAGATTTCACCAAGATCTCAAGTAGCTGAGGGAACACTATTCGTCTTCATCTATTGTTGAATTAATGGCGGGTTGTGATTAAACACTCTGCCATCTACTGTGCTGGAGTGAGAAGAGAATTCAGTCTATGGGCCATTCTACAGATTTTGTTCAAAGTCAGATGGAAACATCTTGATTTTTTCCCCCTTTTTTCCACAAATTTTGTATGTATGCAAATTGTATAATACCCAAGGTTCACAATTCTATTAATTCTGCAGTTAATTCTTATATTGTATTTTCAGAAAGTTTTGGAATATTTTTCCTCTCCCCAAATTTGACACTACAGAAACCCAGTGATAAATAATTGAATACGGCGGCTTATATTTACCTATTAAGATTTTGTTAACATCTATCTTTTTTTTTTTTGTTGCTATTTTAGTCAAATGTTTTTACAGGTAAACCAATAACAATTTTAACAATATTTCTAGTGTAATTTATGAGATTTGTTGTATTTTAAATCCAATCTTTCTTTTTAAAAGGCATACTGTTTATCATACTGATTTCAGAGGTAAGGATTCATTAGTTTAAATATACATTGAACCAAACACTATAATAACATCTTAGTTGATAATTCATTATACTTATTTTTGTCAAAACATCCCATGTGTCGGTCGTGACTGCACATGTACGGTAGTGACAGTAATGTTTTGGTAGCGGCCACATTACACTACAGAATTTTAACTCACATAACTAAAACACTACTAAAACATACTAAAATACTAATAATTTGCATAACTGTACTCAAATTTTGTTTATATTTTCCCCAAATAAAGGATTATGTGATACCTTTTGTCACTGCCAAAACACTGATGACATGTTTCCTATGAAGACAAATTCTTTCCAAATATGAATTCTATTTAAGGACTTTATTTTCATTTGACTTTTACCATATCGTCCAGTAGCACCTCAATGCAGTACATGAGATCCACGGGGAGGAGTCGGATCAAGATCCAAGGGGTGGAGATGGGTAGGATTAGGGTTGGGTTTAGGGATTAGGGTTGGGTTTAGGGATCAGGGGGCGGAGTTGGGTAGGTTTAGGTGTATGTAAGGTGGGAGGAGTCGGATCTGGATCCGACTCCTCCCCGTGGATTTCATGTTCCGCAGTGAGGACCATCTCATATCGTTGATCAAAGTCCATGTACTTAAAAGCTTAATTTTAGTGTTAGTTTATATTTTAACCACTAGATGGCAGCTGTAAAACAGGTATTTTATTCAATGCACTATATGTCAAAAGCCATATTTTGAAAGAAAGTAAATTGAAAAAAAAACATCCAGTCAAAACATTTTTATTTTAAAATATTGATTTATCACTGCAGGGTTAAATATCCATCAATACAATGTATAACATAAATTGTAAACAAGATGTAAGTTGCTGGCTATAGATATATGATACGCTAAGCTGCAAGAAATTACACCATTTGATTTCTGAATATCAAACTATATTTTTAAGTGATGGATCTGAATGTAAACTTTGCTCACTTAGATAACTTTGGACAAGGCTTTTTCTTATGAGTCTGTAGACCAGATGATCGGCTGAAACTCTGTCCACATAAAGAGCACTTGTACGGTTTCTCTCCAGTATGAATTCTCTCATGTTGTTTTAAGGATCCTGACTGAGCGAAACTCTTTCCACAGTGTGAGCACTTGTACGGTTTCTCTCCAGTATGAATTCTCTCATGTTGTTTTAAGGATCCTGACTGAGCGAAACTCTTTCCACAGTGTGAGCACTTGTACGGTTTCTCTCCAGTATGAACTCTCTGGTGTGATTTTAAGTCGCTGTGGGTAATAAAGGTCTTCCCACAGTCAAAGCACAAATAAGGTCTCACAATGTTGTGTATTTTTAGGTGCCTGTTTAATTTGTCAAGTCGAAACCAACTCTTTCCACAAACAGAACACACATGAGGCTTCACATCTGCATGAATTTTCATGTGTCTTTTCAGGTGCTCTGCCACAATAAATGTCTTGTCACACTGATCACAGCCGAATGATCTTTTTCCTGAGTGAAACAGCATGTGAGTTTTGAGAATAGTTTCCCGTGGGAAGCTCTTTCCACACTGACGGCATGTGAAGGGTTTCTCTCCGGTGTGGATTCTCATGTGCGTCTTCAAGCTTGATTTAGTTGTGAAGCTCTTTCCACACTGAGAGCAGGTGCAAGAACATTTCTCTCCTCTTCTTTGAGTGTTTTGTTGAGGTTTCTGAAACTGATGGTGTTTCTCCTCCACTTCATTTTGTTCCATCAGATCTAGAACAAACATATTACATTAGACAATTCAAGACTGAAAAAAAAGTAATCTATACTCTAAAAGCAGAAAGATTTAATCAAAACTTAACTAAAGAAAGACTAATTGGATCCAAATAAATATTGAGCCTCAATTTAGCAAAATTATAGTTTAATATTGAGTCTACTAATATCTAATTTTAGATGTACTGTTAAAGGGCAGTTTTCATCTTAATGTTCCCCATCAGTCATTAAAGAGAATGAAGGAAAACACCAACCTATTTGTTCCTCTGTATCTTCATCTCTCGTTCTGCAGGGTTCTTCCTCGATCTCCATCTCTAAAGTTTCTCCTGGAGTAATTCCTCCTGCTTGTTAGGAAAAGTTTCTTCACCTGTGGGAAGAGTCAGACATGAATATTCAACAGTATTGAAAGGTAAATCTTATTAGCCTGACTTTTCTGTCTCTGTCTCCCTGTTTTCTTTCTTTCTTGTCTGTAAGGCTGCAGGTGTTAGATTTATAATTTATCTGTTTTAATGTACACTCCATGTGTGTGTGTTTCTTGGAAAGCAGTCTGGAAAGGATCCTTTTTCTTTGTCTAGGAGAAAGTGCCCGAAAGGCTGTTCTGGGATGTGCGGTGCCTTCAGCCGGAGAGTGGCCATAAACTAACTTATTTTTATGTAGCTATTGTATATTCTCATTGACTGGCAGCTACACTCCCCTGAACCAAGAATAAGCTGATGTAAACAGGAGGTTTTGTGAACGGATTGGCTTCGTGTTCATGATTCTCTATCCATGAGCTCATGTCATTCAATGATGAAAAAGGAAAATTCTGAGAAATAAATAGAGATAAAATAATCTAACAGGTATTATAACAGGTGGGCGAATTTGGTCATTTCTGTTTTGGTGAAGTATAACTGGTCATTTAACAGAATCTTAACCTTTTTAGCATACTAGCCTAGCCGTAAGCCTTGTTTACACTTTTGCCTGATACAGCACCGTTTAAACTGTAGTGACTCTCCGCTCTCTAGTGATGGGAACACACATCCTAGCTACATAGAAAACATTTGCGATTGGTTTGTAAACGGTATTATTTCACATGTTCGGGATGTTCTCACTGCATTTACACCGTTCTGACCAGCAGGTGTCGCCAGCGTGCGGCGCTTCGAAAGAGTGAATCATTTCGTGATATTATATTGGGAATAGGCTACAAAAATCTCCGTTTCTCCCATCATCACAACTTTTCTCCAGACTACTGCACACAACAGTTATAAATAAGTATGAATTGTATCAACATAAACACTAACTCACTATAGACTCCAGCTGAAGATTTCACCAAGATCTCTGAGGGAACCATACGAGGGAACACTATTCGTCTTCATCTATTGTTGGATTAATGGCGGGTTGTGATTAAACACTCTGCCATCTACTGTGCTGGAGTGAGAAGAGAATTCATTTTGTAATTTATTTTTAATTTGGTATAAATGCAAATTGTATAGGCTAATATCCAAGGGAAACATAGTAATTGTGAAGTTAATTCTCATATTGTATTTTCAGAAAGTTTTGGAATATTGTTCCTCCCCTCAAATACCGAAACACAATAATAAATCATTTTATAAGGCGGCTTATATTGACCTATTAAGATTTTGTTAACATCTACCTTGTAAATACATTTTTTTGCTATTTTAGTAAAACAGTTTTCTAAATCAATAATATTTTGAATCCAATCTTTCTTTTTAAAAGGCATACTGTTTATCATAATGATTTCAAAGCTAAGGATTCATTAGTTTAAATATACATTGAACCAAACACTATAATAACATATATAATAACATATAATTTATTGTTAATTCAATATACTTCTTCTTCTTCGATAGATTTTATTTGGCAGTTTGCAATCATTGTGCATTACCGCCATCTACTGGACTGAGGAGTGATCACATTGGGACATCATAAAAAAAAATATATATATATATATATATATATATATATATATATATATATAATAATTAAATAAATAAAAACCTGCTTCAGCTGGCGCTGCGTGTTCAGTTCTTCCAGCTAAAAAAACAACAACTAAATTCTACTTGCTAATTGGGTTTCTTTAAGAAAAGTTATAACCGCCCTAACTGTGGACTGTGTGCTGGTTATACTCAATAAATTTTTAATTGTTAATTCTTTCTTTACCGCTCTCTTCATATTTTCCCTTTCTCTGGTGTATTGTATACAATCTATCAGTATGTGTTTTACATTTTCTATTGCTCCACAATTTGTACATACTCCAGTCTGATGTTTCCCTATAGTATGTAATCCACTATTTAAACTTGTATGTCCCATCCTCAGTCTAGTAATCCATGTTTCCTCCTGCCTTTCCAATCCACTGATTTTACTAGCTGTAACCTCTTTGTGTATGTTATATAAATGTCTGCCTTTTCCCTCCTTATCCCATCTCTCCTGCCACATTCTGTTAATTTTGTCCTTAATAATACTTTTAATTTCTGACCTACTTAATTTGATATCCAGTTCAACCAGTTCTGATGTAACAGCTTCCTTCGCCATCATGTCTGCCTTCTCGTTCCCCTCTATTCCCCTGTGTGCTGGAACCCATATAAACCCTACGCTTATGCTCTGTTGGTTTATTTTAAAAATGAGTTGATTAATTTCATCTAATAGATCCGGTCTACATTTAGTCTTTCCACTCTGAATGCATTCTAGTGATGACATTGAGTCTGAACAGATGATCACCTTATTGGGTTTAACTTCTTCCACCCATTGTAAAGCCAGAATTATTGCTACCATTTCTGCTGTAAAAATGGCCAGAAGGTCTGTTGTCCTTTTTTTAATATTAACATTATATTTTAAAATGTGAACTGCAACCCCTGTTTTCCCATTCTGATCTTTCGATGCATCTGTAAAAATTTGAACTGTGTCATCATAATTTATATCAATATATTTCTGAACGTTTTGATATATCCCTGATTTAATTATTCAATTCAATTCAAATTTATTTGTATAGCGCTTTTCACAATACATATTGTTTCAAAGCAGCTTTACAGAAATTGCATTTCAGAAATGTACATAGAAGAATATAGTTAGTTAATCATCATGTATTAATTTAGGGCATAACATATCGCCGGCGTTGAGTCGTCTCTTTACTGTCATGGTGCAATGGATCACAGGAAGCAAATGCGAGTGAATAATCTTTATTGTCTCAGTCCACGGCAAAAGCCAGCAATGGTGACGCAGGGACTGGATGGTCAACTCGGTGAGTGAAGACAGACGGTGCGAAGAATCCACGGTGAACGGAGAACACACTCTAGGCACGAAAACACTCCACGGAACACGACACGATCAGGAACAGGAACCAGACAGGGACACACCAAACAAAGATCTGACAAGGATGAGAGAACAGCGGTGAGTATAAGTAGTGGTGATGATCAACTGCAGCTGGTGATGTGATGATGAACAGCTGGAGCGGATCAGGTAATGCCATACAGACACGCCCCTCACACACGTGCGTTCATACAACAACGTAAACACGAGACAAGAAGGAACAGAGAAATTGTCTACCGTGACAGTACCCCTCCTCCTAAGAACGCCTCCTGGCGTTCTCAGACTCCCTTACCTGTCGATTGTAATCATCGATAAGAGAGTGATCCAGAATGTCTCTAGCAGGAACCCAACTTCTCTCCTCCGGACCGTAACCTTCCCAGTCCACCAAGTACTGGAACCCGCGTCCCCTCCGTCTAGAGTCCAGGATGCGATTGACCGAATAGGATGGTTCCCCATCTACGAGTCGCGGCGGTGGGGGAACCGGGACTGGCGGATTAATGCGAGCATAAAACACGGGTTTGACTTTGGATACATGGAACACGGGATGAATTCTCTTGTACGCAAGAGGAAGTTTAAGGCGGACTGCCACCGGACTAACAATCTTGGTGACAGCAAACGGGCCAATAAATTTGGGAGCAAGTTTATTCGAGACGGACCGGAGAGGAATGTTCTTGGTAGAAAGCCACACTTTGGAACCGACGACGTATACGGGAGGCCTCCGCCGGTGGCGATCGGCCTTGGCCTTGGTGCGAGCTCCCACTTGGAGTAGAGTCTCACGGGCTCTAGTCCAAGTGCGCTGACACCTCTGGACAAAGGCGTGAGCGGAGGGGACCGCGACTTCGGATTCCAGACTAGGAAACATTGGTGGCTGGTAACCTACACTACACTCAAACGGAGATAGGCCCGTAGATGACACTGGTAACGTATTGTGGGCGTACTCCACCATAGACAGTTGCTGACTCCAAGAGGAAGGGTTCTTGGAAACCATACATCGCAACATTCTTTCCACATCTTGGTTGGCTCTCTCAGTCTGACCATTGCTCTGGGGATGAAATCCAGAGGACAAACTAACAGTCGCCCCCAGTAATCTACAAAATTCTCGCCAAAATTTGGACACAAATTGGGGACCCCTGTCAGAAACCACGTCCATCGGGAGGCCATGTAACCGAAAGACGTGATCTACGACAGTTACCGCTGTCTCCTTAGCTGAAGGTAATTTGGGTAAGGGGATGAAATGTGCTGCCTTCGAGAATCGGTCCACCACAGTTAAAATCACTGTGTTACCCTGAGAGGGTGGGAGGGCGGTAATAAAATCTAGAGCGATATGGGACCAGGGTCTCGAAGGCACCGGCAGCGGCTGAAGTAACCCATCTGGAGGTCGATTGGAAGACTTACCAATGGCACAAACTGAGCAAGCCAAAACAAAATCGTGAACGTCGCGAGCCATACGTGGCCACCAAAACCGTTGCTTGACTGAAAAACCAGTGCGATTAACTCCTGGGTGACAAGCAACGTTGGAATTGTGGCCCCACTGGATAACGTCTGACCGTAATCCCTCCGGCACAAACAAACGATTCGGTGGGCACCCGGGCGGAGGCGTTACCCCTTCTAAGGCTCTCTTGACCTTCGCTTCGACCTCCCATGTGAGTGTTGAGACAAATCTGGTCTCAGGTAAAATACACTCGGGAGTAGACGGGCGTTCGGAAAAATCAAATATGCGAGATAAAGAATACGGCTTGATGTTCTTAGAACCCGGACGGTAAGATAGAGTAAAATCAAATCGACCGAAAAAAAGCGCCCACCGAGCCTGCCTGGAGTTCAATCTTTTGGCAGTTCTGATGTATTCTAGATTCTTGTGATCAGTCCAGACGATAAAAGGTACCCCCGACCCTTCTAACCAGTGTCGCCATTCTTCCAATGCCAACTTGACTGCCAACAACTCTCTGTTACCAATGTCATAATTGCGTTCGGCTGGGGATAATCGATGTGAAAAAAACGCGCAAGGA